AGGTAAAAAACTTCATGGATGGCAGCCTTATAATTTTCAAAAGATCAGACGAAGCCTGCTGTTGATATTGGCAAAATGCTTTTTAAGTTAAAGCTCCAGTCTGTGGACTTTATATACTTTGCTATTAGAACTTTGATTTATCCAAACACTGCCATATGGTTAGAGACCCCAAACATGTTTTGTTCTTGCAGCAGATGTCTGTAGCATGTAGTTATCCAGATTGCAGCCTACAAGCATAAGCCATTTATCAGTTAGCAATCTAATAGGTTGCAAATGATCATTGAAAACCAATGTATTTATATACATTTTGTATTAATACCTTCAGTTTGGCATAACTGATTTTGTTTTCTGTATTTGGGGGTTAACGCTTTAAATATTTGTTCCTTGTTTTTGTTTGTGATCTAGTAACACAATGCAGGTTGGAGCAGTAGCAGATCTCAGACGCATTAAAAATGCTATTGGTGTGGCACGGAAAGTGATAGAACATACTAGGCATACCTTACTAGTTGGCGAGTCAGGTAATTTTTATTTGTTTCGTTTTCCCATTTGTAAATATTAGCTATCATGTAGTGGTGAGAGAGAGTCACAACTGGAGCCGAGAAGTCCTCTCAACCCCAGTGAGACAAACAAATTGCTTTTACTGGAACTTGATGATGATGATGATTCTTTGATTTGTGTTCCAGTTTTCTGACCAGATGGCACTTATAAAGTAATAACCCAACAGTAAAATGTTTGTTCTTTTGGAGTAGAACAAAATAATGAAAAAGAGGCCAACAGCTACACGTAGCTCGATTTGGGTTACTAGCGCCTTGTTGCTTGAATAATAATTGGTGGCCCTTATCCCAAGCTGGTGATTGGGGTTAGAGTGGGCAACCTTGAAATCTCAGGCATGAGCCTGTACAGGCTGGGACTGTAAAGTGATAGGACATTACCCTTTGCCATGATGTCTTTTCTGGAAGATAGAGCATCCAGTCTCTCAGTGTCCATTGGCCTGTGGCCAATGGATGAGGAGAAATTGTGCAGACAAAGTTCCATACAATGGATTCATATACTGTACATTGCCTTTATGACTGTAGACAAATATTAACTGCCAGGAATACTTATACATAACTTCTTGTTTCTTTTTCTTCTTCTTAAAGCTTCACTGTTTGCAGAAAGCATGGGATTTCCAAGTGAAGATTTAACTACACAGAAATCTCTTTCAATATATGTAAGGTGGCTCAATCAAAGCTGCCAGCCAAATTTCTGGAAGGTAAAATACCATTTAAAAATAAACCTTAGTGACTGTTATTTGTCATAAAAAAAAATTCTCTGGTAAACAAAATACATCATTCATACATTTTGACTGTGACTTGGAGACAAGATGACTGACTACAGTCCACTTTGCCGGATATCATATTTTATTTATAAAAACATTTCTCAGTCACCAGAAAAGGCCGTCTTAATGATATAATTTAATATTTTGAAGTAGTTTTTAAAATTTTAAGCACTCCATACAGGAAATGAGAAAACTGTTGTTAGAGAGAAGCTAATGCATTTAACGTTTCTTAACAGCCATGTCATATCGTATCAAGAAATCTATTTTACACCAATTTTCAGTGGTAGATGATCAAAAAGATGTTATGAGAAGGGGGCAGGGACCAAATGATTATTCAGTCAAATAATTGTGAACATGTCTAATATGGTTTTCAACACTTTATTGTGCTATTGTGAACCAATAGCATTTCTGTTTTGTTCTATTTAATAGCAAGAGAGTAATGTTAAAAGTGGAGTTTTTATTATAAGAGTACTTCCAGGGCATATTGGGAAATTAAAAAGGTTGAATGCTGTAGAAGAAGATTCCTACTGGATCAAACAAAGGCCTATCTCTGTTTTCCCTTACCCTTGGATTACAATTCTCATCTTCTTGAGTTAGCATGCTTGCTGACAATTGTGATCATTATAATCCAACAGAATATGGTGGGATCATGCTAGAGGGATCATGTCCAGGCATCGTCTTTCTCACAGAAGTTGATGCAAGCACAAGGGAAAATTAAGGTGTACTTACTTAAGGTGTGCTTTTCCTCCCAGCAATTGGCATTCAAAGTTCTTCTGCCTCTGGCATTAAAGGCAGAGTTTTAATTTCCTGACTAGGATCATACAAAGTTAAGCCAATGCTTGAAGAAAGCTAACGAAGCAGATGTAAGTAGTAACTTAAGTTTAGGAATGTTTCTGTATTTTTCCAGTTCCAGTGAGCAGGACAACAGCAGAGATACAAAAACACAACAGCATCAGACAGCTTCTTCCTAAAGCATAATGGTGTTTTCTGCCTGCACTGCTTCATTCTGTCACTGTGCCAGTCTTTGTATGTAGCCATAAAGGGCAGAATAAAATAACAAATGGCTTTAGGAAAGGAGAGGACATTTCAGCTCCAAAAATAAGTTGGCTTACAGTAATTCTGTTCTGTTGTCTCTGGCTGTAGTAAACAGTATAACCACTGGGTGAAAATATGGAAAAGCGGTAGTAGGTCAGTCTGTGCTAAAGAATGAGCAGACATTGTATTTGCCACTTTGTTAACATTGAAACGTGTAGAATAAATAGGAATGTATGCCTTAAAGTTGGCATCAGACAAAATACATACAGTATCTCCCAATTAGTTGGCATTGTGATCCTTGTAAGAGTTACAGAGCCTTTACTAGTCTTTCGGTGCCAAGGTAAACATACATTTCCCAGCAACAGTATACAGTAACTAGGAAGCTCCATAGATGCATAATCTTGCCAAAGAATTGAGCAGATTTCAAATAATTTATAGGAGCCAAAGTTTTTTGAGGGAAGGGACCTTTTCATATTTCTTCATCCTTCAGCTAAAGCAACATTAGCTTGATTTTTTTCCTGGAAGTCTCTCTCCTAATTGGCATTTTAATCTATTTTACATATGCCCTGAGGCTACTTCAGATCCTGGATTTTATGATCACCTGGGAGTGAATGGAGGAGCTTTAGATGGCCATGTATATTACTTTGCAATAACGACCAGTTTTCTCCCCACTAGATGGCAGCACCTAATTGACCTTGAGTGTACTTAAAAAGGAGGGCTAGATGCTTTTAATATTTGAATGGGAAACCATGAGGACGCTCTAGTGCTATAGGCTAGAGGATTTTTCTTTAATAATTCAGAAGAAAGCAATAAATTTACCTGTATTGCTTCCAAGAAAGTAACATGAGCATGTGTATGAAATCAGTTTAAAAAAAGTGAGAATTTCTAAGTTTTTATACCTGTAGCCCAGCCCACCCACCCATCTACCTTCCTGCCTACCTATTTATGGCTATTGCAGCAGTGCCAGCTCCATTAGGCCCTGGTATATGAGCTCAGATTTGGCAGTATATGTTATACTGTATATGTATAATGTTTATATTCTGACGTACCTTGATGATCCTAGGTACAGCTATAACAGTCAATATACTGGGGGCCTTTTATGTTCCTGAATTAGCTGTCTTGCATCTCTAGTTTTTCATATTAAATAATGAGAAGTTCCACAGCAAGCCTGTGTCATATGTCATCCTGACTGTGTTCTGTACGTTACTCTTCAGAAAGCACAGACAGTGCTACGTAATGGAAATCTAGAGAAAATACTAAGGAAGTTAGGAGACAAGAGCTTATAAGTGTTGCCAGAGAACTTTGTGATTAAATCACACTCTTCATTACCTTCCGTATGAAAGCAGGAAAAGGGGGTATTGTATTTTGCACTCAGTGCCTGTGTTGCATGTAAAGTGGGAATACAGTAAGCTGAATTATGAGGTTTAAATCTTACAGAAACTAGCACTGTAGTTATATATGAAGTTGTCTCATCACGATCGGTAGGGATGCTCATAAGGTCTGGAAGGAACTCATCTTAAATTACAGCTGTAGGTGGTAAGACATATTGTCATGCTGAGGTTTTCTAGCACATGGAATGTTGATATATTTCATTTCTCTTCTGGGTATTCGTCTTAGGACATATTTGCAAATCACATAGCAACGTGAGATCTGAGCATTTTTGTAACTGAAGTGTTTTCAGTATTGAGGTGCTCTAAATTGAGATATATGCTTTATCCGTTCTTTGTTTAATGCCTCTGAACTGCAATAATTTGCTTCCTATGAAAGTTCTTTGTCCTTGGCATATGCAAGCTTATATTTTTCTTTTAGCATGGTAATTTAGTTCTTTTTTTTTCTTTTTCAAAGTCTAGGAAAAAGACCCATAGGTTTCTTTGAAATGTCTCTTCTTTTCCTTAAAGATTTTAATGTGAATAAAACTTTGATTTCAGAATGTTACACCAGATGCTTCAAAATCATGTGGTCCATACAAACAGACTACAGAGTTCAATAAAAAAGAACAGAGCTCTTCAGAGAGAAGAATAGAAGTTCACAATCATGACACTATTGGTATAGCTTCTTGACAACTATTCATACTTTAATACTTTTGTTTGTTGCAGCTAAAATCCCACACAAATTAAATATAAATTATATATAAAATAATGGATGTAGTACAGAGAATTTCTACCAGTAAATAGATAGTTTTACTGATTTTGCTATTTATGTGTTGAAATATGCTTGGTGCTTATTGTAGGCATCTGGCATATTCTTCTCTAATTAGTTTTACAGCATTCTATTCAGTTTTCAACCCTTAGCTTTCCCTCCTCAAATATAGTCATAATGGACTTTAGATCCACTTACTGGGGTATACAGATGCACACAGCCTAAGGAGAAGCTTTTATTAGCAAAGCAGGGCTGTGATCTTGAAATGTGAAATGCAGGTTCATTTTCAAGCAAGAGCAATTCTTTGTTTTTGCCTCCTTAAAGCATTCATCAAGAGTACCCTTTTTTTGAAAAAAATGAAAGATTTCTTATTGGATGTTCTAAAACTCTGTAGCTAGATGAAACTTGGGGATTTGGACAGATTTAACTTCACATTTTAAAAAATTCACTCAAATTGGTAGGAGGGGAACTATCTATGTATTTGGATTTAGTCTCTGCCATCTGCATGGCAATTAAATATGGAATTTACAAAAGCACTGGAGTGACTTGGGAGTGTAAGTCTCATTGCCAGACACTTAAGGCAACACTTCAAGTGTGATGATTACACTCGTCATCATTTAGCAATTAGCATTTTAAAAATGTCAAATTCTAAGTTTCTTACCAATTAAAAGGTATTCCTTATGAGCATTTCCACTTTGGCAGCTTACCTGAGCCAGTAATTTACTGTGTGACAAAGTTTTCACAAAGCACAGTGATGTGCAGGAAAAGTAGCAGGAAGAGGGTATGTTAGTGTATATTGAATTAGATAGTTTGCCTGCTCTAGGCAAGTTGCCCACTTGGCAAATAGCTGTGACTGGATACTTGTATTCACTCAGTAGTGAGTCATGATCCTCTCACTGCCTGTTACGTGAACAATATAGAAATGTTAGTAGAAATGAAGAATTAATTGCCTTAAACTCTGTATTTTCACAAGGAGGTAAAACAAATTACAGATAGTCCTTGCTTAACAACCATTTGTTTAGCGACCGTTCAAAGTTACGATGGCACTAAAAGTAACTTATGAGCGGTCCTCGCACTTACGACTGTCACAGCACCCCTGCGGTCATGGGATCGCAATCCGGGCACTTGGTAATAGTTCGCACTTACAATGGTTCCAACATCCCAGGGTCACATGATCGCCATTTGTGACCTTCCCAGCCCATTTCCAGCAAGCAAAAACTGTGTGACTCACTTAACAACTGCAGTGATTCGCTTAACAACTGCTGCAAAAATGTCATAAAATTGGGTGCAGTCACATGATGTTTTACTTAATGACCGCCTCACTTAATGATGGATTTTCCAGTTCCTACTGTGGTCATTAAGTGAGGACTACCTGTTTTAGAATGCCTCATTGTAAAAATCAAGATTTACACTTATGGCAGGGATACTAACTACACTGTGGAATTTCAGTTGGCTATTAGGGAAGGGGGGGGGAAGGTATAGACTCATCATCATCTCTCTTGCACTTAAAAACTAAGCCCAAAACAGATATAAGGGAATATCAAATGAATTTGAATATACAGAAATACAAAGTAGACACATTAAAAACCTAAGGAGCTCTACCTCTAAGGGAAAAGCAAGTAAGTAACTGCTTTTTAGAACAAAAAGAATAAATAAACAATATATGACTAATCAAAATTAAGCAATGTACATCAGAGAAACCTGTCACCAGGACCAGACCTTTCAATTCAATTTATTCAATTTATTATTTCAATTCAATTTATTAAAGTTTAATAAATAATCATTTTAATCTTTCTCCCCCCTTCCTCCCTGCCCACCCCCCCAGAGTAGTTCCCAGAGCCATTTCCCATATTTCCTGATTACTAGAGCAGAGTTTTTAGGGGATTTATTTAGTGAATATAGAATCACCTATTATTTATTCCATTGCCCCTATAATAACAAAATCTTGTGAACAGAAGTCTGTCTTCAGATAATCTTAATGAAGCTCAGTGTTTCTAATTTAATTGGTCAGAGTTTGAAGACAGGGAGCAATCTTAGTGGTCATGTGTCTTCTCTGATGGAAGATTCCCTTTTGGCTAATGGCATGTCCTTTGAGCAAACCTATTTCAAAAGTAAAATGTCTTCTGCCTTATATTTCTGAGAGGCCTCTGGAAGAAAGATAATTCCCAAGTGAGATTGATCCAATCAGCATGTTGAAAAAAAAATTATAGCTGCCATGTAGTGCTCTGTTGGATAGCTCCTAAGAGAATGGAAGCCCTGTCCATTTTGAAGGATGGGCATCCTGGTGTTATCCTCATTAAATGAACAAAACCCTCCCCAAATGCTTCTAAGTGTCAATTCTTTTTCATTTGTAGGCATGATTGTAATTGGTCAGAGCGGACGTATTGCTGTAGGGACATCTACAAATGGTGCAAATCACAAAATCCAAGGGTTTGTATAATTGTCTACAAATCTTGGCTCTATAAATGTAAAATCTGTTTTCCTTTGTTTAATACGATGCACATAGTTTCTGGCAATGTGTTTATGAACTATTTGTGTAACGGGGAATACTTTTATTTGGTGTTATGGAAAATTAAAGATAGAGGCTGGGTTTTTTTCCTATGTTGCCATCATTTATTTACTTCTCAGTAACAGGAATTTATTTTGGGAGTGCTTCTAAACATCTCCATGTCTCAGCCTTGTCATTGCTAGATCGGCATGGCCGTAGAAATGTTACAGTCTTTCAACCAGACACCATCCACCTCAATACCCTTTTTTCCTGAAATATATATGTAAAACTTAAATCTTTATGACAACTGGGTTTGAAATAGAAATATATTTCTGTCAAGATTGGGTATTGCTGTCGTAAAACAAACTGTGATATATTCACAGATGATACATTAGATCTCTTAAATCCCAGGACCACATATGCTGCTCTGATTCTCTTCATGACCCATAGGAGTTTGTTCTGACCACAGTTGCTAAAAGTGAACAGATATTTCTCAACAACCTTGAAACATGATGCCTCCCCTCAAAAAAGTAAAATAAGTTCTAAAATGGGCTTAGGATAGTATAAAGAAAGGAACATCCCCAAGTGCTTTCCAAAACTTTTTTCGTTCTGGCCCCATCACTGTGATTTTTCAATCGTCGTTCCTTTGCTCAAAATAAAGCTGCTATTATATAGAAAAAATACATTTATTGCATGTTACTTTCTTCCTTAGACGTGTAGGAGACTCTCCAATAGCTGGAGCAGGAGCATACGCTGATAGTACAGCTGGAGCTGCAGCTGCTACTGGTAATGGGGATATCATGATGCGCTTCTTGCCCAGGTTTTTATACATTATTAACTTTTGAATATGCTGTGTTTGAGTACTTTTGCATTTGAAACTGTAATAAGGCTACCTGTGTAAAAAAAAATAATAAAAGTGGAAGGTAACAAATTACTTTAATTTACCAACTTAGAATGTTTCAATTAAATTTAATATATTGTTTTTAAAATGGCATTTATTTATTGATTGATCACATTTATATCCTGCTGTAATCTGAATTGAATTTTGGGTATGTTTTGAAGTGAAGCCAACCTAAATCAGTTTTTTATAATGCTGCATTGTAGATCTAATTCTCTATTCTATCTTACTTTGGAGAGAGACGTATTTAATGCAATACTTGAGATAATTACACCACCATTCTTTTTCATATTATATTGAATTATTCCTTCATTTTCAGTGTTACATCACTGTTCTTTTTCATATTAAATTGTTCCTTCATTTTCAACTTTTATGGAATGAAATGGCCTGTTTCATAGGGTACAATTTCTTGGTCTGTTGAAATGTATGGATGATCCAGTTTATGTTACATGAGGACTATAGACTATATTAAGCACATCACACTGGCATTTCAAATTCCAGGAATGTTCCATTCTCCTATGTAAAAAATTGAAAACAGTCCTGGGAACTTTTAACGGCATGCAGCGTGTTTATAAGTGCAATTGTTGAGTTTCAGATGTTCTTCAGGACTTTGATGAAAAGCAAAAGGCATTTTAAAGAACATTTGTAAACCAGTGTCCAAGGGCAGCTGATAATTTTGCATATATCACTGCAAGCATGCTGGCTATAATTGACAACTTTTGCCCTGTTCTGAGCCTTCTTTTTTGGGGAAAAGTTATTAAGGAGGTGGAAGGGAGCCAACTATAGAGCACAGTTTCCTAGAAGGAGCCAATTATCTTGATCCCAGTCAGGATTCAGGCCTGGACAAGGGATAGAAATAGCATTGGTTTCTTAAGGAGATGACTTTTGTCAGAACCTCAGTGGGGGAGTGCATGTCTCCTGGTCATTTTAGATGTGTTGGCAGTGTTAGATAACACATATTTCTGGACCATCTTCAAGGCTTGGGAATTGGAGGCACCATTTTATGATGATTTCACTCCTAACTAAATGAGCAGATTCAGTCAGTATTCAAGGAGGGAAGGGCTAGGACCCTTGATTGTTCCAGTGCAGGTTTAAAGGGATTGGTACTCTTCTTCATGTTATTTAACATGAACTTTCTGGAAAAGGTCATCATTGGTTTGGTGCAAGGTATTGGCAGTAGCTGGATGTCATCTAGTTGTATGTTGTACAAGAGATACCATGAAAAACTTGAATCTATGCCTGTATATTGTTAGAGACTGGATGTAATGAAACAAGCTCAGATTAAACCCTAGCAAGACTGAATTGCTATAATCATTAAACATCAGTCAATTTAGAAATATTGGCTCCAGTAGTTACTCTTAATGGGGTCTCATGGAAAGAGTTGGTTTATGATTTGGGATCTTTCTAGGATGGAAACTGCTGCAGTAGGTAGAAACCAAGGCCAAGGGATCCTTGTCCAGATCCCACTGGTGTGCCAATTATGACCCTACCTGGACTAGTCTGGCAATAGTACTTCATGCCATGATTGTCATTCAGCTAGACAACTATACTTGCTCCATATAAGATTACCTTTGACTTGGAAACTTCAGCTAAAACAGAATATGTCAGTCAGATCCCAGGTTTTCACCAAGCCCAGGATAATACCAATTTTAAAGACACTGTCACGTTGCTGCTACTGCTGCTGCAGTTGTTGTTGTTATTATTTCACCCAATAGCCAAAGCACTCTGGGCAGTTTACAGTAAATCACATTAAAATACAATTTGAATAAAAGCTATACAATAAAATACAGAACAAAAACATATATAAACTAGGCAGTTGCAAGGCACTCATTCAAACACTAAAATAGTATGAAGTAAAATGCAATTAAAATACACTTAAATGGCAATTAAAAAGTAAGCTCCCAGAGCCAATTTAAAGTGCTGGGTATCACCTCTAAAGACGTATATAGCATTGGTCTGAGATATACTGCACACCTCTTCACTGGAATTGAGATTATTTACTTACTTGTTAAGAGTCCTCCCACCTCATAAGGTTCATGGAACACTGGAGAGATGACATGGTCGCCCACACACTTTGGAACAGACTGCCTCTACAGCAGTGTTTCTCAACCTTGGCAACTTTAAGATGTGTGGACTTCAGCTTCCAGAATTTTCTAGCCACCCTTGCTGGCTGGGGTATTCTGGGAGTTGAAGTCCACACATCTTAAAGTTGCCAAGATTGAGAAACACTGCTCTGTAGGAACACTTGGTACTTTTTCTCCTTGTGTTCCGCAAGGTGCTTGAAACTATTTTATTCCATCATGTTTGTGGTTCTCATTGACCCTGGGCAACCATTATTGTCAGATTTATGTATTTTTAAATTTTATTCTGTTTTTTATTGCTCCTTGTTTTAAACTACCCGGAGTGTCCTCCAATTGGGATGATTGACAAATATTATTAAATAAATACATAAACATTACAACAGTAAGATCACTGTGGAGAATTGAGAATTGTGCAATAAAACTTGGAAATATTATAGATAACTGTAAATAACAGAAACTAATACAATTTAATTGTACTTTAATATGAACAAATAAAATAATATTAAAACAGTTACACTGAATGGTTAAAAACAGGCGCATATGATTTTAAATAAACCAAATATTTAAATAAACCAAATATAATTACCGTACTTAAAATAGTTTGAAGAAACTGAGCAGAATGTACAATATTTCTTTGATGCCAACAGAGGTGGGTGTTCGAAGGATAGAATGCTATCAGCAAATATAGATCTGGTTCATTGCTACTGCTTCATCTCAGAACATGTGAGGATTGAAAGAAGGATTTTCTTGTTAGAAGGGCAAATAGTCAGTGAAGAAACATTTTAAAATATTTTTTCTCCGCTAAAAGGCACTTATTTGGACATCAGAGAATGTGGATTGTCAATTCATTTTCCTGTCTCTGTAGTTATCAAGCAGTGGAATATATGCGAATGGGAATAGACCCAACGGTGGCATGTCAGAAGGTTATTTCTAGAATCCAGAAGTATGACCCCTACTTCTTTGGTGCTGTTATTTGTGCCAACACAAGTGGAAGCTATGGTATGTCTTTTAGTTTTTCATGCAAATTTTTCTTAGCGTAGAAAAAAAAAATTCAAGTTAGTATAGGTTTGGTTCTGTTTACAATACCCATTTGTCACACTGGCATTGATATGAATACGTTTCATATGAATGGGGCTAAATGAAATGTTCACATTCTTTTTCGTAAAATAGCATCAGGCTGAGGCCCACTTCAAAGCAATCAAAGATCAGTCATGCTGGGTGTCTCATTAGTAAACCCTTGGATCACTGAGAAGTGTAATTTTGCTAATCAGTCTGGCCTATTGGGCAAGGTTACTTAGTGCAGTTCTTTTATCTCTGATTTCTCACAGTTCATATTTGAAAGATTAAATATACAAAGGTTCATTAAATTCACCAATATTAAGATGTAAATTGAAATAAAGTTGCAATTATACTTTTAAGAGATATGAAGTCTATAGAGCTGCTTCGAGCCAGATTCCTGTTTAAAAGTGAAAAGCTTTATGAAAGAAAATTCAATGATGGTTTAATTAAGGCTATAAAGGGACCATTACACCACTGTAGAATAGTGGAATCCCTAAATGTTAAAAGTACCAGGAGGCAGATTAATGCAACACCCATTGTTTATTCTCTCAACTTCTTATCTCTCTTTTCCTCTCACAGGTGCCGCCTGCAATAAAGTCCCAGGATTCACACAGTTCCACTTTATGGCTTCTAACCCCAGTCTGAAACAGCCATCTGAGCAAATAGTAGATTGCATTTAACTCCTTTTCTCCATCCCTTCTCTTAATGGAAGTCTCTAAAAATCCAGTGGACGAAATGAAGACTTTCAGTTTAATCCTAACATACTCTTGGAATTAAAGTACACTCCATTCTGTAGGAATTATTTCTATGTAAGTTTGGTATACAAAGAAAATAAATGAGTGGATTAGGTCCACTCTAATTGAAGAGGACCATAAAACAACTTTTCTCAATGATTTTCTGAGGTACTTTTTGCAATAACATAATTTTAGAAGATATGTTGCAAAATTAGAGAGCTTAATGATTTTTTCCCCTAAGTTAACTCTCAGTTCTCTATTTTGCATAATATTCTAATATAAGAGAAGCTATTCCTCAAACAGACAAAATGCAGTCATTGCTTAAATTGTTCCTTACTGTTTTACCCTTAAAATAAATTCAAGTTTAGACTTCAAAAAACAAGTAAGATTCAATAAATTCCATTTTTCATTACAACACTGTACAAAATTTTTTTTTTCTGTTATTGAAGTTGGAACAAATAACTCTATTACATCCTAACCCACTCCTCACAAATAGCTAACAATACTTTCTTTTGTACCACAATTTAAGTACCATAAATTCTGTTGAATAACCATGAACCAGTTGTTATTGCTCAGCTGGTTCATCAACTACCCAACTTGCTTGGCTTGTGGATTTCAACAGAAAGGTATAGCCTAATTGTGAGAGATTGTGGGGAGACTGGGAAGGCTGGGACAGGTCAGTTGACAGATTATCTCATAAATGATAATACTGCCAGGAACTGAGAAAAAAACATTTCAATCTTAATTCTAGCTTATTAGACTTGCATTTATGAAGGTAGGCCCAAGATGGGCATTGGTCATTCTTACATAGATATAAAGGCCAATGTACTAGGCTTTGTGTCACTCACTTATCAGCTAAACACTAGATACATAACAGTCCTTTTTGCCAATCTGTTGAGTAATAGATTATGAATATTTGCTGGGACAAGAATAGAAAAAGAAAAAAGAGAGACCGCATGTGCATCAAGTAGGTTTTCTACCTCTTCAGCTCCTCAAATTGATCTTTAAGAGCAGGACCACAAATATTGTAATAGAAAGAACATTATTAATAAGTCACTTGGGATTATCAATACAGACACTTAGTTGGTATAAACTTACCTGCTAAAAGATATTCCAAGATCCAACTATTTTGGCTCATATGCACATAAATAAAGACCCAGTGAATTGTCAAATATTAGGTTGTAAGGTATAAGTAAACAGTACACTGCTTCCCTTAGTCCTTGCCCATTAGCTGTGCTACTTGGAGCTGATGAAGGTTAAAGTGAAAATACCTGAATGACAAGACTATATAGCAAGAGTTGGAAATGTGGCATCTGTGGCCCAACCATACCTCTAAATGGCTACCTTAACCCTCAGCCTTAAAAATGTATTCAATATTCACTTAAAAATGGCTGAAAAAATCACAAAACAAAATGCTTGTTTTTCTTTATACAATTTTAAAAGAAAGTTATTCAGCTGATTTTTTACATTTTCCCATTGCCTGTCAGTATTATATTATTTCAATGAGAACAATTCAGCAGTTTAAACTACAGTTTTTCTATGATAGAGATAAAGGGCTTCAAGTCAGTGATTTTACTATTTGATAGTAGAATAGAATGAATAGTATACTGCACAGTATAATGTATTCACAAAGTGAATAGAATAGAGAATTAACATTTTTACTTCCTTACATAAATTATCTTACTAGCAAAACAGACTAAAAGTCAGTCATAATTTCCTGAAACAAGTTTAATTAAAAAAAAAACACCTCAAATACAAGGTTGTTTTCCCATTTGTCACAAAATTTTAACCAGATACTGAACCTCAAAGGACACTTCCAGATTTAAAAAAAAAAATGCTATGGTCCAATGTATGTATATTAATACTAAATATAATCTTCCCCAGCCTGGTGGTCTCCAGAAGTATTGAGACAACAACTCCCAGTGTTCTAACCTTTTGACCATAACCTAATAAATCCATTGTTCTCAATGGCTTTATTTTAGCTTGTTCTAAATAAGGTTCTGCATGTTCACTTTTTTGTTGCAATTTTATAGTGCTTTGAGGGCCTTGGGGGTCAAAAAGGTAATTTTGAAATATTTTTAATCAGTACAACCATGTACTTACCTCTAAAGACTTGGGTGAATGTTAGCACTTTTATAGAGTCATTATAGAAATAGATCGTAATAGGCTTTATACATTTCTTGGAATTTTCCTTTATGCCACTTATAAGCAGCAATCCTATTTGTAATTGTAGGTAAGCACATTCTTTTGAATTCACTGTATAGATTTGCCCTAAGGAGCCAATTATGTCAGTTACTTTAAATCTCCATTTTTATCTATTGTGGAATGGAAAGGTTTAGGTTCCCTTGCATTGAAAGGAAAAAGAACAAAATTACCCTGTGTAATATACTGAAGAAAATTATTGTTCATGAAGGCTTTTAGGATGAGAAACTACCAACTCTATTATTACCTTATTCCTTTTAACCTTCCTCAAATAAGTACTTTTCAAGTAGTACTTCATGTTATAGAACAATACAAATTTCAATATTTCTTAATGGACTTCGTGCCACAACTTTCACGATACTGCATTCAGTGACAATAATTTTGTCTTTGCACCATAATTAATTACAATGTGAGAGTTTTGCTGCAGTGTGCTTTAGGGAACCAATTAAAGGAAAATAAGAATGGCTAGTGAAGTTATAATTTGTTTTTAATACTAAAGAAAAGCAAAAGTTTTATAGCTCAGTGGTAGAATACTTGTTTTGTATAAAAGAGATGCAGCATTCAATTTCTTATTCCCAGACTGGGCTGGGAAAAAAATGTACTCATTTAGTGTTGCCAAGAAAACTTCAGGGACTTGTCCAGGCAATCAGCAGGAGTCAAGCCTGACTCAAAGATACAATCAATCATTCAATCTCATTTAGTGTATTCAATTAGATGAATCAATGATCTAATCTAGTGTGATACTGATTCTCATAGTGAAAGTATTGGTTACATAAAGGCGTGGGAGTATATATGTACATACATAGTTCACAAGTAATACATTTTAATATGTTCTTCAAATAATAATGGTGCATAATGCTTCATTTCTTCAACCGTACCCCATCATAACAACACAATGAGATTACACTAATGGTGGCTATCCAAGGTTTATGTTAAATCTCAGAATGAATGGAGATTTGAACCAATTCTTCCCAGTCCTATTCCAACATACTTTGAAAGGCATTGCCAGATGTCATTTAGTTGAAGGGAGAAAATGAGTAATGCTGTTACCTGATGAAGCAAAATGCCGCAAAAACTTATCTTTGTTTCTGAATTCCATGTATTCTATACTACGATACTACTTGTGTAGATTTCTCTTCACTGGTCTTCCCTAGAATCCTGGGAGACCAAAGTTTTAAGTGTTGGAAAAGCTTGTGGGCACAAAGGTCACCTGATATTTGCAATGTGATACTGTGTCCTTTCATATATTGGTTGAAGGTAAAATCATTAATACAAGAAACAGAAAGGTATTTATGATTATACTGCAGTTGAATTAACATGTTTCTTCAAAAAATGAATGTTTCTAAGATTGGGGCTTCATTCCAAGCTTCTGACATTTCCAAACTACTCTTCATTGCTATTCAGGGAATTTGAATTGGGGGAGGGGAGACTGGAAAAAAAATCTAATTCCTATTTTAAACTTTATAATCCCATCACTATCTTTTAGACAGTACTGCTTTATAAAACCTCTGAAAACCAAATATCAAGCAAATGTACCACTGAATTTCAGCAGAAAGAGGCTTCCAGCTGGCTTATGGAGCCCAGAGGAAACCAATACTTTCCTTAGATTTTATTATTTTATATTTTATTTTATTTATTTTATTGTGCCTTTGAGTCAATGTTGACTCTTGCCACTGCCTGGTTAAGTTTTCTTGGCAAGATTTCAGAAGTGGTTTGCCATCGCCTGCTTCCAAGGGCTGAAAGAGAGGAACTGGCCCAAGGTCACCCAGCCGGCTTTGTGCTAAGGCGGGACTAGAACTCTCCTGGTTTCTAGCCTGATGCATTTAACCATTACAAACTGGATCTCTTAGCTGAGCACTTTAGATTTATTTATAGCTATGACGTATATGGTATTCCGTTTCTGGAAACCCTGAACGGCTAGATGTTATGGGAATGCAACTGTCTGAGTACGTTGGGAGAATGGCATCAATGTCTAACCTGTCTTCAATTTAAAGGTGTAGTCTGGGATGTAGGAACAACAGGTACAATATTTAAGATTCCCCTGAACTTTCAGTATTGAAACAAAGGAGAAGTCCTGTCAATTGTTACTTCTGTCTCTTTACCAGTGATTCTATGCAGCTCTTAAAAGTGAAGAAAGGTACTACAATAGGCAGCTTCTATAAGCTATGATTCATTTAAAAAACAAGTCACTGGCTAAAATCTGGACTTCTTCCTACCTCTGGCCTCAGGTAGCTTTTCTGAATGATTTACCTCCAAAATGTAATCTTTGAAATTAATACAACTTTTACTGGCATAGTTATCCTTTATTAGGCACAGTACAAACCCTAGGTGCAGACAATAGGAGCTTAAATTCAACTTGTATTGTCCCTAAAAAGTTGGAAGAGACCTCACAGGTGTTAGTTATATGGTTAGTATACAGTAGATTGGACTTATGGATGACATGCTTATTGTTAGTATGTCCTATAAACATTTTATTTTTAATAATACTTGCTGTGTATTTTCATTTGTAATAGTTTTATCACCATCATTTGAAATAGCAAGTTGGAGAGACAAGCTTAATTTTCTTGGAAATAACTTCCCTCACAGAAAAAAAAGGGGGGGGGGCTGAAGGAAAGGGCTAGAAATACTCTTTAACTAAACTGCAGTTGAAACAATCATTTTGCACAGCTCAACCGGCATTGTAAGCACAAAAAAAGAAAATGGTCATATTTCATACCACGGATCTCATCTCTAGCAGTGATTCCTACTGTTTGAGTAGCCATTGTTAAAATTATACTGGTGTCTTGCGATGCCCCATTGTAGACAGACAATTCACAGGTCAGTTGTACAAAAATAAGAGACTGTTCTCCTTGAAAAAAAGGTAAAATAAGAGTGAGCACCACCTACAATATATATTTGTAGAGAAATTATCTTTTTTTTTTTTAATTCAAGTAATTTACAATCACTGGACTTAAAGGAAGATCAGGCCATCAGTGTGATCTGGGAACTCAAGTATGATAGGCAAGTATGAGCATTTAAGGTTTGCTCACAATCTCTCTGCATTGTCTGTTTGATAGGGAGAGGATATTCAGTGGTTTGTTAGGTTTTTCTTTTTCTTATTAATTCATTTTAGTCCACCCTATCAGAACTGGTAACAATGATTTACAATATATGTCACAAGCATTCTTGCTCATTTGGACTGTACATTTTGAGCTCTGCATGAAACAAGTACTAAAATGGATGTGCAAGTAAAACTGAAGGCCAGTGCATGGCCTGGAGAAAAGGCTGTTAAAGCAAATTGATTTGGCTTCAGGGTGTGCTGGACATGTATTGCTACCCTTCCTGAATTTTTCTTCCTAAAAAAGAAAATTGTCTCTATGTCTAAAACAATTTGAATATAAGCAAATACTCAGCTTGCAACTTGCTTTTCTCCCAATAGAATTTAAAAATGACTAACATGCATTTTGCTGCCTTAAAGCCATAGTACACAAGCCAAACACCACCAGGGCTGCATATGGCCCTGAAAAACTTTGAAATTGGCTCCCCGTCCTTCTAAAAATTGCTACTAAACTGTATTTTTTAATGTGATACATGGAAAGTAATCGTATTTGCTTTATTTCATTAACTTCATTAAATCTAAATGATAAATTTACTTTTAGCATAGCCCTTGGCAGGCCACTATAGAGCAAATAGGGCTGTTGGCTCCAAAAAGTTGTGCAATTCTGCCTCAAAGTATTAAAAAAAAATAAAATGATTTCTTCAATAGCTCTTACGTATAGCTTTCTTTTCACTTATGTGCATAAGGAGCAAGATGTTAATATAATGTAATGTTTCACACTTCAGTTGAGTGACATGTTTCAGGACAACTTATAATTACTGTATAATACAAAGCAACAATTATATCCATTTTCAGTACAAGAAGAGTAAGAGACTAAAAACATAGGAAGAGTGGGAATAGATTGGCAGCCATGAATATGAAAATCAGAAGCAGTTGAGCACTTGCCTGATGTCAAAAAGACAAAACACTCAGTGCCAGTTCAGTCTGGTGAGATTGCAGTAAACTGTTGCCCCCACAGAAGAAGAGTTTTTCTCTATTAACTACTGGAATCGTTCCAGCCAGCAGAGAGCATATGGCAACACACCTCTTAAGTACACAGATAGATTTGAATGGGAGTTGATGGTCTTTTAGACACCCAAGAAACACCCAGCTGGCTTTATGCCCAAGATAGGACTAGAACTCACAGTATCCAAATTTCTAGTCTGGTGCCTTTAA